CCCTACCCTGATAATAGGACCTAGTGATGGGTGTGGCTATGAAGATATGCTGCATAGCCACACCATGCATTTCAGTGCAATATCCCCTGAAAATAAGCCCTAGTGTGTCTTTTTGAGAAAAAATAGATATAAGTCAGTGTCTTATTTTCGGAGAAACATGGTATCTGTTTTCAATTTTTTACTGCTGTCTGAGGAAGGCATTCCTGTGACTCTAAATGGTATATTATCAGGATCCCAACATCCCCATATTTCCAGCAATACTTGATAAAATTTCACATGCCAAGATAAAATACATAAACATGTTTATTTTGGAGTGTTGATACTAGCTTTAAATATGGAAAGCTTTAAATATTGTATATAGAGGGGGGATCCATTCAGGTAAATATCAATATGGGAGTTGCCATGAAAACTGGTAATAACAGAAAAAAGGCATTTCAGAAATTCATATTATTTTTACCTTCCCTGCCTAGTCCCCAAAGTAGGTTAGAAAAATACACCTTGAGAAGTTCCAACCTCATGGTGGGGGGTGGGAGGGGGCAGCCATCTTTCAAGGAGTTTGTTCCCCACTTGAGAACCATAAATAACCAGAAATGAAACATCTTGTTTTATGTGTTTTTATTTTGACTGCTTAATAGTTTGTATGGTACTTCATATTTCAAATGCTTTCTTAAGCATGAATTTAGGTACAGAATTGTAATGGCAAAAAAAAGTGTAGTAATAATGGCAGGTGGGATGGGTTTGCATTGGGGTTAGCATTCACCAACTGGATACATCATAAAGATTCACTAAATGATGTTTGAGTTAATCACTAATTTCCAAGTAGGGTCAAATACATTGAATGAATAGTTATGTAGTCTTGAATAGATAATGTATCCTCCCTTCAAAATGTGAAGGTAATATTTAAACTATTTCCTTGCATAGAAGACCTAAGAGACATCTGAGCTATAATAGGTCACATTTTTTCATATGTAGCATCCCCAGATATTTTTTGGGCTCACTCTGATCCTAGATAGCTGAAAGATTTCTAATCACATTTCCTTTTTCAAAAATAATAACATATTCAAATAGTTCACCTTCCATAAATAATATTTCCACACTTGTACTTGAATAGTCATGCATTTACAACTGGGAATCTTCCTAATGGGTAAGACACACCTTAAACTTCTTAAGAAAGAAAAATAGTTTTAAATGTTGTCAGTTAGGCACAACTGATTACCAGCTTTGCATAGTTTTCATAAATCCATTTCACATTTTCCAGACTATAGAAGAGATGCTCAAAATAGTTAAGGGCATCAAGAATCTAATTCTAAAATTATCTGTGAAAAGCTGTGATACTGTGTAAACTTCAGCCATTATTTCTTAAGTAAGCAGTAAATGGATGCCTATTAAAATTAGGCAAATAGCTTGACCGCTCTCTTCTCATTACTGCAGTAATTGCTGATACCCCTAAAGTCTGATTTGTAAGTTTGTGGATTTTTCTATGGTTTTTTTTTTTAATATCCTATGTCCAAAATGTGATACAAAATGAAGTGTTAACAAAAAAAAAAAAAGAAAGAAAGAAAAATAAGGAAGAGAGAGAGAAATAGAAGGGAAGGAGGGGTATAGCCTATAGGTCAGTCAATGTAAATGAACTGTAATAATGTGACACAGTTCTTCTGGGTATAGAATGTTGTTTGAGCCATCCTAGCCCTTGTCTTAGAGGTTGTAATGAGCTTCACAAAATAACGCATGCTGATGCTCTTTGCAATCAGATCAATGTGCTTAATTCTGGGGGTAAGGGGTGGTTAGGGGTTGTAAAGTCCATTAACAAGGTATTTATAGGATTGTAAATTGGTAGGATAGGCTTCAAGGATCCTAACCCCTTTGAAATCACACAGAAACATTTTTGCATATATCCATATGTACATTTACTTTTCTGGAGAAAGAGTCACTAGCTTTCATCAAATCCACAGAAATATTCTAAGATACTTGCCTCAAGAAAATCAGCTGTGAACCACTGCTTTAGATCCTTACTAGTTCTTTGATATCATTTCCTTTTCCTAGAAACAAAGGGAAGGGTGTGTATGTGTGAGAGGGAGAAAGAGAGTTAGAGAGAGAGAGAGACCTGATAGAAAGGGTTAATTTACCATGTCTCAACAAGGTATTTTTAGGCATATTCTGATTCTCTACTTCTTATATGTAGTAACTAAGAAATTAAAAAATGATTTTTTTTTTTGGCTACAAAGTCCTTTATTGCCCATGGAACAATGGAACAATTTTCCATGTATACTATTGAAGGCAATAGGAGAGAATGTGGAAGCATAGATACATTTAATATTTATGAAAAAATAATTTGTTCCATCCAGTTTTTAGCACTGAATTTGACTAAATATATATAGTGGTTGCCCTTCCAAAATGTATACACATTTTAAGAAAAAACTGGATTAAAATTATAATAATATATATTAATAACACTTTTTTATCTTATATATTATATCATATATATCTTGTAGTTGTAGAAGTCAAATGTAACTTGAGTATTACAATTATAACTCGGGGTTTTTTTTCCATTCTTAAAATGTGTATACTTTTTTGGCACTCTATATGTGTTTGTGTGTGTGTGTGTATGTGTGTACACACACTCAGGTCTCAAATAATCACCCTATGAAAACTGATTCTTTCACCTATGTGTGCTCTTAAAGGGAGAGGGGATTTTGGCTTCCTTGCCTGCTGTCCTGTAAACCCTAGGTCACTGGCATTCTACAGGGTCCATTCTAGGGCTTCTCCCTGCATGAGGGCAGAGTGGATCACAGTTGGTCTATGAGTTGGAATAAAGATCTCATTGATAGAATACATGCTCAAGAGTCAGAATTTGGTAAATTCTAGGATCTCTTAATCCTGGAATGAGTCTAAATATTAAAGCATCATGTATAGAGCATTCTTCCTTAATATAAAGCCAGTGATACAATAGTATGTGCAAAACGGTGGAACCTGTGTTTCAAAGGAGCAGGGGGCTGGCCCCGTACGATGGAGGTGGCGAGTTCAAATTCAGCTCTGGCCAAAAAAAAAACTGAAAAAAAAAAAAAGAAAAAAGAGTATGTGCTAAAGCAAAGCAAAGGGAAAAATTAAGTAGCATAGCACTTCAGGAAAAACTTTAAATATGGTAGAAGAGGCAATCTTTCCAAGGCACATTAAAATACAAATCCCTATGGGGCAGATATTTTTTTTATGACAGCAAATTTTCCTTGAAAAGAAGTAAGCTGTATTAATATTACAAGGTAGCCCCTTATTATGCCAAGTGCCTTTCAACAGGAATTTATTTAACCTTCCTAATCAGCAGCAATAACAAAAATGTCTCCCTTATAGACACCCAAACAGGACATTATAGAGACCTATTGTCTGAGTCACTAAGGACTCCTGGGTCACAGCAGAATAGCAAGGCCTTTCCTTGGATTTGAACAAATAATTCTCTAAACCTCCCCATCCACAAAAAATTAATGGGTCCCATGAATAATTCCCTCTGAGGAATAAATAGAAAACTTGACATCTTGTCTTGATCAACAGTTATCATTTTTCTCCTACATTTCTTAAGTGTAGATTTTTAAAATGGCACCTATTTTTGTATCACTGGCATTTTAGATGATTCCTCTGTAATGAGAAACAACAATGGGAAACACCAACTTACAAGAGATAAGGGCTAGGGAAGAAAACAGGTCATGCAAGTCAAAAATATTTCTTGTTAATAGAGCTAGAAACCAAATCCCAAACAATTATTTGTCATTGGAAAGCAGTTTCTTGATATAAGAGAAAAAACCATATCAGAGGAGTGAAAGGGAGAATTCAGATTTACAAGAGTATTTTTTAGGTCATATTTACAGAAGTAGCAGTAAAGCAGTAGAAGTTTGCTTATTTCTCTTTTAAGATAACTGCTTTGTGTCCCCTGTAAGATCAGCTCATCTTTCTAATACTACTCAACCGTTCAAGCATTCTGAGGAGGTGGAGAGAGGAAATACAGTATGATACAAAATGGAACCAAAGGGAGTTATTCAATGAACAAGGATACTTGAAATATCACTTGATTAATGAATTTAATTTCTTCTTATCATGCCCCTCAAGGATATTTGATTTTAATACTGTTCTTTAAGGTATGGTTGAACCATACATACAGTGCTGCTATTAGAGCAAATTTTATCTCAAAACAACCACGTCTTATAGCTCAACAAAGATAGCTGAGATACTTTAGGAAAGATCTACCCTTAATTCAACTGAATTCAGCAGACATTTACTGAACACTCACCATATGCCTGACACCCTGCTAAGTAGTGAAGAACACAATAACGGCAGTTGGCAGATGCCATGAGCTCCTGGGTAATTTATCATGCTTATTGTACTGGTAAGAATCAATCATCACCATCTTTATCTTTTAAAAAGTCAGAAGGAGATATAAAAAAAGAATCAATAATCAAGATGATCATCAATGGTCAAAAATAAACCTATAGTTCAGCCAGTAATGGATTCAACAAGTTAAAATATGCACCCCCCACCCTGGTGATTTTGACAGTCTTTAATAAAGAGCCATTGAAGCATTTTCTTACCACTGTGATAATTTCAAGGAGGTGGCATTTTTTAAATTCCCATTTTTCATACAGGAAACTGAACCATGAGGTGGATAACAGACTTGCTTCAGGTCATGTCTGGCTTCTAGTCTTTTGGGGGCTGGTTCAGCATTTTATCAGTTGACCAATTCCTTTCTCTCCCTCCTCTATAAAGTATGCAACCATGGCCTTAGCTGACCCCAGCACCCTGGGAACCATGGGGGGAGGGCAACATCAAACAGATTGGTGGGAAAATTCTGCGAAAAGGTTTCTGTAAATGTTTGCTTAGTATTTTACCCCTTCATATGTGTTACCTCCCCTGTACTCAGTAATTTTAGTTTGCTTTTTGTTTCTCTTTTTGTGTCTTTGGTTTGCTGGCTTTGTGTTCTTTTCTCTTTTTTCCTTTTCTTTTCCTTTTTAATGCAGGAATCGGTCAAGGCGTTCCAGTGGTGGCACTCATTGTGGAAGGAGGACCCAATGTGATCTCAATTGTTTTGGAGTACCTTCGAGACACCCCTCCTGTGCCGGTTGTTGTCTGTGATGGGAGTGGACGGGCGTCTGACATCCTGGCATTTGGGCATAAATATTCAGAAGAAGGCGGGTAGGTAATTTGCCAGGACCCATGGTAGATCCTTGATGGAAAGCCTGTGTTTGAAACTTGGGAAAGAGGGTACTGTCATCTGTATTTTCAGTAGCTCAACCAAAACCTCACATCAGCACTAGCTACTAGCTATGAACAAGTTGTCTCAGAGATATCTGTCATGGCAGGGTGGTGGAGAAGAGCAGAGGAACGGATTGTAAATGTCTTATGAAGTAGGAAATCCCATGAAAACTCTGCGAGACCAGTCTGAAATAAGGAGGATGAAGGGAAGCAAGGTAGTCATACTACATAGTCTCCTTTCTCTTCCCGATTTCTCTTCTCTTTTCTTCCTCCCAATAAGGAGAAGCAGGAATTGGGTTTTAGCACATGAAGCACGGCTGATTTGGACCACCTAATACAGGTTAGTGACTCAAGAAAAATTAAGATGTGCATCTTCCAGCCTTGGCCTGGAAAACCCAGCATTGCTGAGCTACCATAGAGATACTCTGTGGGCGGTGCCATCAGGTCCCTCTCTAGAGGGGCTTGGAAAGTAAAATCTCTGATATGGTAACCACTTTGGTTCTCCAAAAACTCCCCTTGATCTTCATGCACTTCCCTTGGTCTATCAGCTTCCTAATGCTACTGTTAATACTTTAAACCATCCAAAACCCCCAATCCCAGGGAGGACTTCCCTTCACAGCCCTTCCCTCTACCTGAGTTCCCACTGGGTGAATTGTGAAATCCAGGTACTCTAACAGATTCTTGGATCAAGTAATTCATCCAAAGTTGTGAACTTAAGGAACAAAACTCAAGGGAGCCATTCAAGTTTGAAATAAGGAACTTCTTAACCCAATCAGTTCTCTGAACACATAAAATTTGTGGTGGGGAAAAAACTCAAAGGAGAGAGGAGAGAGTCTTTTATTCGTGCTTTTTATAAATATATAGTATGTGTCTACTGGGTGCCATGCATTATGCTAAACATTGAGAAGTTAAAACAAATAACATAAAATTCATTGCACTCTCAGAAAACTCTAGTAAGTCAAGTAGTCAAGCATTATAATAATAAAAATGTCAGGTGAGCTCACCTGGTACAATACATTCCCTCTTCTGCCTCTCTTTTACCCATCCTGCCTTAATAAAGACACTGCCCAAGGCCACCTTAACACCATCTCTTCTCTCCCATCCCCTTCCTTGTCTTTGCCAATGGCCCAGCACTCCAAGTGAGCCATTAAAAACTACACCCTTACCTGGTTAGGAGATAGACCCATGTAGATGAAATGAGCAATAATGAAAAGCATTGGGCTTATGACCTTTGCCTTATAGGCATTGACAATGATTTTAGAGCCAGTTAAAGCTTTGATACTGCTCTCCCCCATCCTCTAATTGCTAATTTTTAAAAGTTCAAAGTTAGAGTTTCCTCACTGGACAGTTTGATTAACTTACTATTATTTTTCTTTGATGATAAAAATAAACATATTAGATCCTTTTATAGCTAAGTACCTAAAACGAGAACATTTGCCCAAAGTCCTCCATAATTCCTACCAACCAGAGTTCAAGATCCTTAACTATGCTTTGTTTTTATTAAAAATTTAGCCCTAGTTCTCACTTTTTAAAATATAGCAATTTGTTCTTTTGTCAAAAATAAACTGAGGAATTTATAAAGCTTTTAGCTTTGACTTATTTCTTGCTTCTTAGTATTTGCAAGTAATTTCATTGGGATCCTACAAAGTAGATACAAATTTGCATTCAACAAGCTTGTTTCAGGGTATAGCTCAGTGGCAGAGCATTTGAAGGCAGAATGCATGGTTCTACTTTAGAAACCAATGAAAAAGAGGCTATTTACCTTATTTACCTCAGGTTTTCAGGTTTTCATGATCTTAAATGGTCTACCTTAAAAATGTTAAGATCTTTGATAAGACTGTCCTTCAGTTTACTACTGTTTTATAACCTACATGGGATACTAGATTATTTAAGTTATTTAAGATGAGTAAGTTAAGTGCTTTGTCCAGGGTCACACAACCCAGGATCCCAGGCCAGGATTCTTTTTTGTATATTATAAAAATTCACTAAAATGTGTTTTATGACATGTTTTTTAGTGTTTCTCCCATTGTACCTCAGTGATGCTATTTTTTAAATATATAAGTGCACTTAAATTACCTTCATCTTCCTCTTTGTTTTATAATTTAATTTTTATTATTCCATGTATCCAAAAATATAAAACCAATGTATTTTTGGTTGTAAGCCAGTGTCCAAGGTAATGAACCTTATGTCGTATTGATTATTTTCTTTCCCCAACAAGGATAATTATACCCTAACATAGAAAACTTATCTAAAAATACCATACCCTCTTCACTTTAATAGGTAGTTGTAGTTCTAATTATTTTATGATCTAAATATGCACAATCATCACAGTCTCTGTGGGATCTATATAAACTATGAACCATGGTTGATTAGCAAAGAATATGAGGTTATGCACACAACTGGTGTGGAGATAAACGATTAAGTATAATATTACCCCTGGGGAATTTTTGAAATTAAAACTTTTAAAATTTTAAGAAACATATAGAAATGGTTATTAAGATAATAGCAGTCTAAAGAGATTTGTATTTTGCCCCCCCCACACACACATACACACACACACACACACACACACACATACATATACATACGGTATTATAATGAAACTGTGCTTTTTCTCCAGGAAAGCAATTATAAATTTATCATGATGAAATGAAGTCAGGAAGTTTCTGTATACCATCTGAATAACTGTAAAAATTAATCATGTTTATTAAGCTTGATAGGAAATTGTCTAGCCACACATGTGGCTAATTTAAAAAATCATTTCCAAAGAACTCCTCTTTGCAGTATCGTGAATTCTTTATGCTAAAAAAAGGAATTGGCCTAGCCAAGCTTTATTGATCAGGAAGGATTTCTTCTTTGATTTCCAACAAAATCTAACAGAGTTGGACATGTTTCACTGCAAATAAATATAAATCCATAACTATATGTTCATATAAATAAAACTTACTGTATTCATGATACACATAAAATTAGAAATAGGGAATGTACACACCCTGTTCATGTACCCTTTATTTCAGGGCTGAATCAGTACCTTTTCAGTTACTTTGGTAACTTAAAGATGATTAAAGAGAATTTAAGTTCATTTAGAGCTTCTTAAATAATACATGCCCAAGGACTATAAATGTTTATACTCAACTATATGGCTTTTCATTGAAAAAAATTTTTTCATGAAAAAGTTCATATCGGCTCGGCGCCTATAGCTCAACCGGCTAAGGCACCAGCCACGTACACCTAAGGTGGCGGGTTCGAATCCCCAGCCCGGACCCGCCAAACAACAATGACGGCTGCAACCAAAAAATAGCCGGGTGTTGCGGCGGGTGCCTGTGGTCCCAGCTACTTGGGAGGCGGAGGCAGGAGACTCGCTTGAGCCCAGGAGTTGGAGGTTGCTGTGAGCTCTAATGCCACGGCACTCTGCCCAGGGGGACAGCTTGAGGCTCTGTCTCAAAAAAAAAAAAAAAAAGAAAGAAAAAGTTCATATCTTGGGGCAGCACCTGTTGCTCAGTGGGTAGGGCGCCAGCCCCATATACCGAGGGTGGCAGGTTCAAACCCGGCCCCGGCTAAACTGCAACAACAACAAAAAAAAATAGCCAGGAGTTATGATGGAGACCTGTAGTCCCAGTTACTTGGGAGGCCGAGGCAAGTGAATCACCTAAGCCCAGGAGTTGGAGGTTGGTGTGAGCTGTGTGATGCCGGGGCACTCTACTGAGGGTGATAAAGTGAGACTCTGTCTCTACCAAAAGAAAAAAAGAAAAAAAATTCATGTCTTATATTTTAACCTTTGTAAACTTTCTATTTTGTCTTTGAATTCTCTACTAAGAATGTGATTTGAAAGAGAATCACTTTGGAAGAAAGTTATAATTGCCAAAACTGATTTAGCTTTTGTAGATGAGATAGAGTATGAGATAGAAAAAAGACTGTGTCTGTCACAATGCAAATGGATTTGGAGAAAGTAAGGAAGAATTGCAATTATATTCTTATTTTGGTCTTTTTCTCCCTGTCTCTGCTCTCTGGCGTATACCACCTGAAAGAAGTGCCCAAACTTCCATTTTTTTCTCCTTGTCATAATGGATTTTCTCTGAGAGTGAGTCACTAATCACTTTCCCTAATTAATTTCATTGCTTTAGAAATATCAAATCTTATTTCTGAATCATGACTGACTAAACACCATAAACATAAAGAGATTAACACTAACTGAAATAGCAACAGATCAAATTACCTACATGTTTAAATGGAAGGATTCTCCTTTTTGCTATGTTTGACGAAGACGAGCAGGGATGCCCATAGTTGAGAATACCATTCAGGCTATAGGCTCCAGATGTTGAAATCAGAGATTACTTTGCCAGGTAATTGTCAGCCTGAGTGTCAGATGACAGAGAAATGTTTAGATCTTCGTTTATTAGTGAGCAAATGCTTCACCCCTGAAAAATGTCAGTGTGAAAAGGGTATCCGGAGGCCTACGTGTTATTCATCTAAACTTTTAGTTGGGTATCTTTGTCCCAGAAATAATCATCTAGATTTACCATTTTTGGACACCATAGGGCAAGAAGCAGAACTTTCTGGTAGCAGAAGGCCTTTAAGATTTTTAGTAGTCTGTTCATAACTTGGGGAAAATAATCGATGGGGCAAACACCAAGAGATGGTTCATAGTCTTTTGTGCCAGAGAAATTTGTATTAGCTATGATGGAAAATAAATGAACAATGGCTTGCCCTTGGGAGCGAGAAAATCAAAAATATATTTCAAATAAAAAACCGACTTTCCTGTTCAATGGAAGCTTAATAAGGGTCTCTACAATTTTGGACTAGCTGAGGCAAAGGCATAAATGGAATATCTGTGCCTTGATGAAAAATGAAAAATATGTTCTATGGTTTCCAACTATCTAACTATATATTACTAGCAGAGATGGGATAAAAGTTTGTTTTCTGCAAATATACATCCTATC